ATTAGAGTTAGGATGTATTGATGTGTGACATATCCACCATTAGAGTTAGGATGTATTGAGGTGTGACATATCCACCATTAGAGTTAGGATGTATTGATGTGTGACATATCCATAATTAGAGTTAGGATGTATTGATGTGTGACATATCCATCATTAGAGTTAGGATGTATTGAGATGTAACAGGTACGTTATTAGTGACCAACTGTATAAATGTGGAATATTAAGTTTGACAAAAACTGTAATCTTATTACGTTAGTTAGTTTTTAACAATTAATATAAGAGGCATGTATAGTAATGCAGTTGTATACTTTTTTAAATCTCTGTTTCAAAATTATTTATTGAAATTAGACGTATTACGTTATATTTTTCAGAGTCGTTGTAAAACCTTCTGACGTCACAAGCGTCCACTGGAAAGTTGAACAAGTTTTCCAGTTTTGGGAAAGTGTCGTCTTCGTACCCGATTCCTACAACGTTGTTCATGTTTCTCTAGTTCTCCAAAGGGTGGCGCCCTTGTACCACCTGACCTGTGTGATGCCTGCAGTTCTAAGTGTTATTCTTACAGCATCAGGTCAGTGGTTCACCCCTAAAACATGTTCGTTAATCTAGAGTTCAATCAGCCACCTGTATTAATTTTCTTTCATTGAAAACAAGAAATATATAAGAATTAGTTAGAGAAATGATACACATGTTACATACGGGTCATGGATACCCCAGGAAATGTCAATCTGTAGATATTATCAGCTTTTCTGGATGTTATACTACTGTAAGAAATGATACACATGTTACATACGGGTCATGGATACCCCAGGAAGTGTCAATCTGTAGATATTATCAGTTTTTCTGGATGTTATACTACTGTAAGAAATGATACACATGTTACATACGGGTCATGGATACCCCAGGAAGTGTCAATCTGTAGATATTATCAGTTTTTCTGGATGTTATACTACTGTAACACCAGCGTTAGGTTTAAGGTTTTCGGCAGGAAATGAACCCATTGAACTCTACAATCCTCTTCCCTGTGTACGCTTGAAAACCGATCACGCCTACTCGTTCTCCTAAAATAACCAACAATGTTTGTTGATTCTCCATTTTTTGGGGGTTTTCCATTACTTTATTATCATACTCATACTTGTTAGTTAAGTTAAGATAAGTTGAACACTAGTTTTTTGCAGAAATGTTACATTTCTGACGTATTAATGCTTTTAAAAATAAATAAAATTTTCCTGAAGCGAGAATGAGTAATGATGTATCTAATTAATGAAGACAATATTTTTTGTATACTTTCACCGTTTCAATAACTGACTAGAGTAATGATGTATCTAACTAATGAAGACAATATTTTTTGTATACTTTCACCGTTTCAATAACTGACTAGAGTAATGATGTATCTAACTAATGAAGACAATATTTTTTGTATACTTTCACCGTTTCAATAACTGACTATTTTATTTACGAGAATGAGTAATGATGTATCTAATTAATGAAGACAATATTTTTTGTATACTTTCACCGTTTCAATAACTGACTATTTTATTTAAAAATGAGACAGTACAAAAAGCGCATATAACTAATTCTGAATGAACTGGAAACCAACTACAAGAGAATCGGCCATTTCAAATTAACTGAAAAACACATCGTGCCAATTTACGTTAATACCATGTGAAAAAGTAGTGTTACGTCTCTGTTAGTTTGTTAATTTTCCGTAAAATTTCCTTTCGAAAAAAACTAGTCCTTTCTTAAATAAAACTAGTTTATTCTTTCTCAATACAACTTTGCAATACACTTAATTTCCACAGTCAGTTGAACTTAAACAAACGCTTTAATTCACAACGAACGATTCACGCACTACCGCGCTTGACTCAATTGTCCGTCTCTATCTCTGTCTGCAATTCAATTCCATTGTTGCCGGTCTTATATATTATAAAAGCGTACATCTCGTCTCTTCGTGGATCTTCTAGAAACTCATCACGTGTTACCAGAGTCACGTGACTTCCTCTGTCGTAACACTAGTATAAATATTGCGTGTAACTTGTTTGCTTGCTAGATAATGTATACTGGTTTCAGAACATAGGTCTTAAGTGAAAAACCTCTACAAAACCGACACAAAAACCGGTATAAGAACCTCTACAAAACCGACATAAAAACCTCTACAAAACCGACATAAAAACCTCTACAAAACCGGTATAAGAACCTCTACAAAACCGACATAAAAACCTCTACAAAACCGGTATAAGAACCTCTACAAAACCGACATAAAAACCTCTACAAAACCGGTATAAGAACCTCTACAAAACCGACATAAAAACCTCTACAAAACCGGTATAAGAACCTCTACAAAACCGGTATAAGAACCTCTACAAAAACTGAAATATTGCAATGTATAAAAATGGTTGTTATATCTTTGTTCTTATATCAGTGACTCACAGGCTTCATAAGTTTAGACGTACCTTTTAATTCAAGTGATGAGGATAGCATGTTGACTGTTTGGTGAATGTCTTGCTCCCAACGAATCACACTTGAAACAGCAACCAAAAAGCAATTAAAGATGGCGACCCCCATTTCTACGATTGGAAGACACCATATTGGTCAAGGCAGAGATCAGCATTAGTGACGCCAATGTGACCTCTACGGGCTACGAGGTGACACTATGAAATCACATGATATAAGGATGTAGACTTACGACCGTTAGTGTTGCTATATGCAGAGTGTCAGATCCTCTTCCTAATGGAAAATAACACTCTGTAAAGACACTTGACAGCTTGAGATGCAATGTTGATGGAATGAAGTACCTCTGGTGGTAAAATGGGCCGTGTTTGTTCAGAAGCTCATTGACTCACTCATTTTAAACAGATCAAATCGATGTACGATTCCCAGTAGTTTCTGAGGTGCTAATACTCCTTATTAACAATCATTAATTAGGCTACCAAATCTATAGTACCAAATGTGCACATATATTCCAGTGTAAGATATTTTAATATTGATTACATAACTGGATATGTGACGTTTACTTTAGGTAAAAATTAGTCCGAAGATATCGCTGATATCATGTACTATAACAGCAGTTTGTTTGTCTGTTGGTTTTGAATTTCGTGCAAAGCTACACGAGGGCTATCTGCGCTAGCCGTCCCTAATTTAGCAGTGTAAGACTAGAGGGAAGGCAGCTAGTCATCGCAACCACCGCCATCTCTTGGGCTACTCTTTTACCAACGAATAGTAGGATTGACCGTCACATTATAACGTCCCCACGGCTGAAAGGGCGAGCATGTTTGGTGGGACGGGGATTCGAACCCGCGACCCTCAGATTGTGAGTCAAGTGCCCTAACCACCTGGCCATGCCGAGCCTCATATAACAGTAGTTATATATACAATTACAATTCTACATGTTTCCGTGGAAAAAAAAAACATTCACCATTTACAAGAGACCGGAAGAAACACAGGAAGTTTGATTTTTATACAAAATGTTTTTTCCACCAAAACATGTAGAGTTATAATTGTATAGACTTTTAAATTGTATATTTTGCTTTTAACTTTATAGAATAAATAACTATGTATTTTATAAATGTCGAAGTTCTTACTTATTTTATTAAATCTTTGCACTAGAATGGCCATAGAATATATGGAGTAGTTATAGTTAAATACAGTGTAGTTAATGGTTTACTTTTTAATTTAGTTGATAAATGATTACAAATATATTTTGGATCAGGGTTCTTCTTTGATTCTCGTCATGCCAGCCGTTACATTGTCGGCCTAGTAAATTTTGGAATAGTAACATTTCTACTGCTTCATCTAAGTGTAGCGCTACCTGCCGGCTCAGAAGTACCAATTATTGGTAAGTTTGTTTATTTGTTGTTATCCAGAAAGATACATAATTTGTTTCTCGTTCTTTGCCCATTGCAGGGATCAAATTCAGAATCTTAGAGTTATAAAACCCTCAGTCTAACTGTTGTTTGTTTGTTTGCCGTCAAGCTCAAAGCTAACATAATGGGTTATCTGTGCTGTGCCCACCACAGGTAATGAAAATGGTTTTTAACGTGATAAGTCCACAGAGTTACCTGTGGGAATTATGTATGTCCATTAACTCGTCAAATGTTGAATATTTAAAAAATGTATAATGTTATTGCTTAGCATTTTAATATATTTACTAGCAAAGACCCACAAAACATTTCCTGACAAATTATTATCTTTATTGTAACAGTACTTCTTTAAATATAACATTTC